CAAAAGTTGAGGTCTGCCTGATTACCCAATCACTTAGCTTAAAACCTTGAACAGTCTCTGGATTCGGCTAATGTTCGTAACACCAATGAGTCAAATTCATCTTGGATGCACTCTAGTTGAGGGAGGACTTGACTATGGGTGCCTCCCCTTTGGATCTGGCTTCAGGAAAATTCCTACATTTTAGAATCATATTACAACAACTTTTGCCCTCTATTCATTTTATTTAATGGAAATAGAAAGGAAAAGTATTATAAAGAGATCCATTATTATTAAAATCAATGATATAAATAAACTGAGGTTTTGTGTCTCTTTCCTTAAGTATAACATCCCTTAAGTATATCATCCCTGTAAATAAATTTACTTTTGTTTTGTTGTTTCTATTTTGAAGTATAGCACTCCTCAACATGCACCTTTTGTGAAAATCAAAAAAAAAGACATAAATTGAGGACAGAACTTTAAACCTCTTCTCAAGCTGCCCGTTGTGCTGTTTCATGACTTTTTTCTCTTATTTCCCATGTGTTTATCTTCAACAATCATTCAAGAGCTAAAATTGCAAAGAACTAGCATTAAAATGAGGTTCCCGTCTTACAGGCTTGAAAGTAGTTACCTGATTTAGCTACATGCCTGAAGTTCATAAAATCAAGGTCACAATGTGATCTTCAGAAATACTGGTGTGTTTTATGATGGCACTAGGTTTTTTTTACAGTATTTTCACCCTACTGGACAAAGATAGTACTGTGTTCCAGACCTCAAAGTTCTAAGGCATCAAGAAAAATTAAACAGTGGAATAAGTTCATTTTACTTTCAAAATGTTTAACATAACATCCATTCTTCAATTTCTTATGTAAAATCATGGTTTGGCCTTAGGCAAGTCTAAGGCCATGCTCAGTAAAGTCATATGAAGAAACTTTTTATTCCTTCACTCTTACACCCTGAAGGGGATGCGTATGAGATGGTGTGACAACAGGGAGCCTGTCCAACAAGAAGCTGAACAGCTTAATCTCTTATACACAGAAGAATTCACACTTTGTTGGACTGAAATATCAAGACTTCTGGCTACAGAAAGAATAAAGGGGTTGATAGAAGGATTTAACAAGGTGTTAGAATTGGTGAATATGTCTATCTGTACTTAAAACAAAAACAAACAAAAAACCAAACAAACAAGCCAATAAAGACTGATCTAAATGACCTTATTTAGAGATTCAAAGTAAGAGATTCAGAAAGCTCTGAATCTCACACAAAGATTAGACAGTACAGGACTGAATAAAACAGGGTAACACAGAAGGACCACAGAGATACTTTTCACACTGTAGAGAACAAATTCATGGGGCCAAAGCTCAATTAAGGTCCAAACTCAATAGCACTGTGAAGGACAGCAAAAGGGGCTCCTTTGTTCAATATGTTAACTGAAAAAGAAGAGATAATATTGGTCCATTATTTGATTAGGTCAATCACCTCAAAAACAAGATATACACAAAGCAGAAGCATTTAATGCCTTTTTTTTCCTCTTTCTTTAACACCATTGAGTCCTGAGCTCAGTTTTGGAAGACTGTAATTAGAGAAATTATAAACTCCCAGCTGACTCTGAATTTTTTGGGGGTTTGCTACCTCAGCTACATTCCAATAAATTTATGACAACCACTGCGACCATGCCAGTATAGTGAAAAAGTTGGCCAGTGTCATTGTAGAACCTCTCTCTACTATTTTTCAACAGTCTTATGAGTCTAGAGAGGTCCCAGTAATCTGAAAGCACATCAAATGATCTTCCAATTTTCAAGAAGTGTAGGAAGGAAGACTCTGGTAATTACAGGCCTGTCATTTCACTTCAGTGACTTGTAAAATTTTTCTGGGAGTTAGTGAAAAACACTCGAGACACAATACAGTCATTGGTCATAGCCAGTACTGGTTCTTGAGGGAAAAGTCCTGCTTCACTAAATTAGTTTCCTTTTATGACCAAGTCATCCATCTACTTGTCCAAGGAAAGCCAATAGTTGTGGGCTCTTCAGTTTTAACAAAGCTTTTGATATGGTCTCTCACAGTGTCCTTCTGGACGAAATGTCCAGCACACAGCTAGTCAAGTTCATAATATGTTGGGTGAGCAATTGGCTGATAAGTCAGTTAACGGGGTTACATCAGGCTGGAAGCCAGTCACCAGTGGGTTCCCCAGGGTTCAATTTTAGGGCCAGTGCTCTTCAGTAGTTTTATAAACTACCTGGATGCAGGAATTAAATGTACATTGTTTGCCAATTATACTACAATAGGAGGAACTATGAATTCCCTCAAGGGTAGAGAGGCCTTACAGAGAGATGAGGATAAATTAGAGAGCTGAGTGATCACCCAGTCCATGAAATTTGACAAGAGTAAGTGCCAGATTCTCCACCTGGGACATAGTAATCCTGGTTATACATCATTGATGGAGAGACTGGAGAGAAGCATCAGAGAAAGAGATTTCTTGTTTTGGGCAGATGGTAAGTTGGATATGAGTCTACAATGTGTCCTGGTGGCCAAAAGAGCCAGACGCGTCCTGTGGTGCCTCAAGCACAGCATTGTCAGCTGGTTGAGCGAGGTGATTGTCCCACTCCACAGTGTGCTGGTGGAGCCCATCTCAAGTCCTATGAGCAGTTTGGGGCCCCTCAGTAAAAGAAGGACATCATACTATTAGAGTGACCAAGGTGGTGACAGGCCTCGAGGACATGGCATACGAGAGCAACTGAGGTCACTCTTTGTTCACCTGGGCGAAGAGAAGGTTGTGGGGTTGTCCTTACCAGACACTACAGCTTCCTCATGGAGGAGGATTTGCTTTCTCCTATGCAACAGGACATGAGGAAACAGAGTGAACACTCATCAGGGCAAATTTATGTTGAACATCAGGAAAGTGTTCTTCATCAAGAGAGTGATTCGTCACTGGAACAGGCACCCCATAAAAGGGGTCACGCGCCAAGCTTGTCAGAGGCCAAACGTTGTCTGGGTGATGCTCTGTCAGACATTTTAGTTTTAGGTAATCCTGCAAAGAGCAGGTAGTTGAACTAGATAATCCTTGTGGGCACTTTCCAATTTAAGAGATTTTATGATTCTAAAATTAAGGTAGAGGATCTGAACCACAGACAAAAATGTGATTTTCTTACTGTTTACTGATTTTGTTTCTTTAAAAATAAACCTGATTCCTTGAAACACTTATTAATTTAGCAAACTGACAACACTGCAGATTTAGCAAGGTGACCATAAATAGGAATATCTTTATCTTTGCAATTCAAGAGTACACCCATGGACTTGCTAACCGTTACACTGATGCAAGGCCAGTGAGGTAAGAATCAGGTCACCAGACTGTAAAGTATAAATTCATGAACAAATAGGATACATTATGTAGTTTACTTTCTGAATATTGTGTATATAGAATAACAGAAAGGGTTTCTTTCCATTATTTTGGGGTTATTTACAGTAGGATTTGGGGAACTTTTTATTACTATGAACATTTTTTTTTAATTAGCATAAAAATTTGGACTATTTCTTCTTATATTTTCATTTTTAAAAAATTGATAATTCAGGTTACCTGAAATATATTTGAAAAATTAATATTAATTTTTCAGATTTTTTTTTTTAAATATCATCAAAAAGAAAGTTTGAATACAGTTGAATCATGACTTTAGTGCTTCTTGTATAATAAAGAATTGTCCTTTTATAGTTCAATGTCCTACTAATAACAGTGATATAAACTTGGGCTTTTACATAACAAGGCATCCATAGCTCATCCATAGAGGAAGAACTTCAGTGGGATTCTTACTAATCTACAGAAAGGCATAAACAATATTAATTTGAGACTATATAGAAACTCGACTTTAAATATCCATATAATTGTAGGACATATTTGGTAGTGGTGACATTAAGAAGGAAGATTATGATTTTGTGTGTTTGGTTGCTTTTGTCTTTCTTTCCTAAACAAAATTGATGGGGTTTTTGTCATCTGAACTAAACGTTACTGGTAAATATGAGAGAAAAAAATGTCTTTGCATATGTCTCACACAAAGGACTTCCAGATGATTATAGTGACACAATAAGGGCCCTGGTCTAAAATCAATTCACCTCTAAGGTTATCAGATACGTTTCTGGATTTTTTGCTTGACTGTACTAAATCCTTGCAAAGTTCTCTGACCAATAAATCTTAGATTTTGAAGTACTGATGAAATCATTTCGCAGAGTATCCAGTTTACTGTAACAACATTTTGTTTTCCCATGCTCACCACACTGCTTTTTGTGATTCTAGATGCTATACAGGACCTGGCATTCAGCGTTGGTGGCCTCACCCTCTCAGCCTCCTTGACAGGCATCTGCTGTAGCTCCACGGATGTAGCTGTTCACACCTTTGCTCCTAAAAGGTTTTTCAGTGCTGTGACAGCAGCAGCACCATGGGACAAGGAGCTGGCTACAGGACACATCCAGCACTCCTATCTCCACGGCCAACATGTGCCTTGCTATCAGATCAACAGGCTCAGGTCGCAAACTTTGCTTCTTACAGAGGAGGAGGGTTCCAAAAATAATAAAAACAAAGGGAGTTTTGGGGAGGAATCGGCTTGCCTGAAATAAAACCTGTTTGACGAGTGTCATTTGCACTGCACTTATGCTTCTAGCCCTGTTAGAATTGAAGACCAGTTAATTTTCTCTTGGGTTTTCGTTTGGGTTTTTTTCCCTCTTTTCCTTCATTTTCTCTTTTCCTTTATTTTCCTCTCTTCCACCCCCCCCCCCCTTTTTTTTTTTTTTTTTTTTTTTTTTTTTTTTTAATTTTCTTTTTCCTTCTTTCTCTCCTCTCCCCCGTCTCTCCCTTCCCTCTCCCCGCCGAGGGCACACGCAGCTCCCGACCGCAGTCCCCGCCGTGCGGGGGCGCCCCGCGGCCGCGCGTCCAGCCCGGGCACGGCGGTGGGAGGGCCGCGCCGCGCCTCTTCCACCTGCCCGCGGCTTTAAAGTTGCAGCCGGGCGGGACGCGATGACTCGGGTCGCGCTGTCCGGGCCGGCGGTTGTCGGGGTGCCTCGCGGTCCGTTTCCCACCGTCGCCCCCGCCTGCCGCCGTCGCCGTTCCCCGCGGCGGCAGAGCAGAGCAGAGCAGGGCCGGGGAGGGGGCGGCAGGGGCTGGTGCGTCCGGGAGATGCCCGAGCCCGTGGCGAGTCCCCCGCGCGGCGAGGCCGCCGTGGATCTCGGCGCCTCCGCGCCCCGGCAGGGGCCGGGCGGACGCGGGTAGAGCCGGCGCTGCCGCCGCCTCCGCAGGCCCGTGCTGGGCGAGCCATGGAGCCGCCTGACCTCCGCGACGTCGAGCAGAAGCTGGGGCGCAAAGTGCCCGAGAGCCTGGCGGGGCCCCTGCGCGGGGAGGAGCTCCCGGCCCGGCCCGCCGCGGACCCCGGCCCCCGGCACCGCCGCGCCGCCGCGCTGGCCCGTCTGGAGGCGAAGCTTCAGCTCCTGAGGCAGGAGATGGTGAGTAGCCGGGCGCCTCCCGCACCGCCGCCTCCCGCTCGGCGGCATCGGGGGGGCGGCCGCGATGGGGACGGCGCTGCGCTCCCCTCGGCCCGCCGCGGGAGGAGCTGCTGCCGGCCCCAGGAGCTGCCGCCGCCCCGCATCCATCCCCCGGCCGGGCCGGTGGCAGCGGGGCTGCGGTGCCGGGAGGGCAGGAGGCTGCTCGGCGGAGTGGCGTAGGATGAGGAACTTGCCGGCTCTTTCCCTCGCAGCGTGGCAGTTCGTCAGTGACTCGCTGTTGGCTTCTGTTCCTCTGTCAGCTCGTTAGAAGTACTGAAAGCTGGAGTACCAATAAACGAAATAATGCACTATTCTCTCACCTTTGTAAGTGCATTTTCTGCATCGTACCTGTTTCCTGCTAATGACTAATGCCTAAGGAGGCACGGGGTATTTTTGGGCTGGAAGTTTGGCCTGAAATTCAGGGACTGGATTTCTGGACTTCAGAGATTTAATTAGTTCCAAACAGGCTACAGATGATGTACACTAACTCTTGAACAAACAAGTATTTATAATTTGGTGGAATCATTTCTCCTTTTTTGCCAATGGTCTGTGATGGGACTAAGGTGTACTTTGGAACTTGTTTACTATCTTAATGCCGCCGCTTTTCCTCCTTTGTAAGCCACCATCTCAATAAATTTATTTTTTGATGATGCCATATCTGGCTTAATTTTTTAAGACAAAAAAAATGCTCTTTGCAAGTGAGACCCTAGTGAACACTCGCAGATACGATCTTGCCAATGCAGGGTACCTCATATTTGCAGGCATAGTTATCTTCCATTTTTATTAGGGAGTAATTGTTATGTGAGGTCCTCAAAGACACTTTTCAGTAGTGGTTCATTCCATAGCTCTTGCCACTAAGCTTATTTGAACACAGGATGAAATTTGATCATGTTGGGATGAGGATTTTTCTGGCAATGTGTTGAGGTAACTTTATGCAACATTCTTAGAACTCAACCATCTACAGCAAACAAATCAATATCATACTGGGTGAACAAGTCTAATACCATACCTTCAGTCCCTGCGCAACATCAAATATAGATAGATAGATAGATAGATAGATAGATAGATAGATAGATAGATAGATAGATAGTTAGAAGTAAAAGGTGTGTGGCTTCATAAGTGTTTTTAAAAAATAAGCATGCTAGGCAAAAAGGGGAAGAGAATGGATATTGTGAGAGTTAATAGCCAAGCTGGTAATGTTAATCTTGAGGGGTAATTTATAAGTCACACTTGCTATTGTAGGGCTTCAGATTATTTAAGAGATCTGCACAAATCAAGATACCAATGTATTATTGGAGACCTTTTAGCCACCTTTCAGTATCTAAATAGGGCCAAGAAGAAAGCTGGAGAGGGAATGTTTACAAGGGCATGTAGTGATGGGACAAGGGGGAATGGATTTAAAATAAAAGATTCAGATTAGGTATTAGGAAGAAGTTCTTTATTTAGAGGGTAGTGGGGATCTGGAATAGATTGCCCAGAAAAATTGGGGGTGCTTCATCCATGGCAGTGTTCAAGGCCAGTTTGGACAGAGCTTTCAGCAACCTGGTCTTTTGGAAGGTGTCCCTGCCCACGGCAGGGAGATTGGAAGTAGATGAAATTTAATATCCCTTCAAATCTAATTCTGTGATTCTATGGTGTTAGTTTAATGATCATTGGGAATTTCAGTTTAACATTGAGTAACACACTGTCAGCATATCTTATGTTTATTTTTTTTAATTTTAAACTTCCACAATGATTGTAGAATGACCTGCAGGTAGCTTATAGTGTATGGAATGTCAGCCTGCAAAGGAAGCAAATAAGGTAGCCAGGGCTCTTGGCATGACTGTCTAGACAAATATCATGACAATTAGGCCTCTTAAGGGAGGGGGATGCGAGTGAGTTGCCTTGTCACCCTTTCTTTTCAAGTTGGTCTCTTCACCTACTTCCTACCTTTTCTTCCTCCTGCCACCCAGTTTTCCTCTTTTTCCTTCCTGCCCTAAGCATGAACATGTTTTAGTCCCAAAAACCTTGACCTCTGTTCTTTGTCACTTCAGTGACTGACTGACTTTCACATCTGAACTCATTGCTCTTGCTAAGCAAGGAGAATTCAGTTACACACCTCTTCCCATTTGACTTCTGATCTGTGTATGCCCATTAAACCACCAATAACATGACTATTTGTGAAATATTACTACCCTGTGTATATTTTTCATGCTCTCAGCTGTGTTCTGTAATCCAGAGCTTGTAAGTGAACTACCTTTGTGGGGTTTGTCTCTAGCCTCTAGCATTTTCACTGTTTTCCTCTATCCTAAAGGTTTTCTAATCGTCTTAATCTGTCACTTTCCCCTCTGCAGTTTTCTTTGTGACATTGTACAGATTTGATCAATTTAAGAACAATACCAGGTAAAAATTTAGGTTCCTTTCTATGCTTTTTTTCTCTTTTACTGCACATCAGTCAAATCTTCTTATTTAAGACCTCTTTCTTATTTATTATTCTTTGGCTTTGCTGCAAGGCCTAAGATGCCTTTTACATGTAGAAAAGTAGTTTATAGTTGCTGCAGTAGTAAAAAAATGCAAAAAATGGAAATGACGAGAAGTTTAGAAAACCAAGTGTCATCTCCATCAAGCTGTTTTTTTCTGATTGTGCTATGATGGCAAATTCTGCAGCCCACTCATTGAATTTTGCTTTTTTTTTTTTTGCTTGCTTGTTTCACACTTGAGGCAAACTTTTGGTAAGCATATACAAAACAGGGTTATTAGGCTCTTCTTTTCTAGTCAAATATGACAAATCGACAATATTTGACTTGGAAATCCTAGTTTTGACTGTGAATTACAGTACCTCACAGATTGGTGATGGGAGGAGGGATGTGGCAACTGTACATCTCCTGGTTAAAGGTCTTGAGGCTTGCAATTGCTCCTTCAGATCCTTTTGCGGTTCACAGCAAATGGTTCTTTTTCCCTCAAACCTGATTTTGCTGATAGTCACTGGAATCACACACAAAGCACCACAGAGTATCTTTCTAGAAATACAGATCTGCTTGGCCTTACTTCCCTTTACTTATCCTCCACTTTCCCCAACAAGGCCACAATGGAGACTGAGGTGGATCCTGAAAACCTTTGAGTTATAAGGCCATAAGGTTACCGGAGTAGCAAGATGTGATTGCAAGTGCAGGTCAAAAAACTGTGCTCTGGTCAGCCTAAGGTGGAATTAAAGTTCCTGGTAGCTGATGTGCCTTGATTCACTATGAAACTTGTCACAGTGTTACTGTTAAGCTCTTTTTTTCCTGTGGTATTTTAGGTGGAATGTTCCATTGGGGAATTAATAATAACCCTTTATAGCTTCAGCTCTTTTTCTAGTGTACTATGCTCCTGAGGTCACCATTCAACACGTACAACTTCAACAGCTATGCATTGCAGTAAATAATCAGTGAGGCTTATTCTGCAGCGTGAAATGACACTGCTTCAAAAGCCTCAATTCTCCTTCACAAGTTCTGGGGTTACTGAGAGGGAGATTTTCCTTAACACTTGAAGAAAGAATTTTTTGGTTTTTTTCCTTTAATTCAAAAGTTTCCAAAATCAACTTTTTAATGCCTTTTTTGAAAGCTAAAAAATTAAAAAGTATAGTCTACATTACATGCAATAAAAAAAAAAATATTTTGCATAAAAATGTATCAGGCAAGAAAGGTACACTGTGGCTTGGAAGAGAGGGGTTGATGGCAGTGCTGGGACTTTTAAATGAGATTCCTTCTAGTGAACAGTGTTGAGGATCAAATACTGTTAATGAATCTGAAAGTCAATCTGGATATGCTGAGTGCAGCAGTTTTTACAGTAAAGGATAAAGAAATTGAGACAATCGTATTTTCAAGGAGTGGAGCATGCCATGGAGATTTAGGCTAAACCTATTTGAGGTAGAGGCATATTCCTATGCTTTCTCGTTAGTTGAGTTGACTCCTCCTTTGCTTTCCTACTTCTGTTACTACTTTTTAGAGGCTAATTGTCACTGATCCTGACAAAATGAAATTAAAGTATCTCTTGCTGACCAGAATTAAGGCAAATACAATCATTATGGTGCCAGTCCTTCTTGGGGTTTTGTGTTGGTTTTGGTTTGCTTTTTTTTCTTGCATTTTTTGGTGGTTTGGTTTTGTTTTGTTCTTTTCACATATCCTTAGCATATCTTCCAATGAAGAAGCAAGTTGGAGGGAAAAGCTGTTGTCACTCTGTTCTACCAGCTCTAAAGAATTAGAACAGCACTTCAGATTTATTAGATGCACAGTTGGGGGTTGTCTACGTTTATTAGTTTCTTTAAAGAAAAAAAAGTCAACAACTGTGACTTGAAACATCTCTTTATCACTTGCTGTAGGTACAGGCCGCTACTTTCACTGTTTTGTATGATAACATCAGTTGTCTTAACTGAAGCCAAGATCTTGTTCACTTTGCCTAGTCGGCAATGCAAAACTGTGTATCAGATGCTGGGTTTCTATTAGATTAATTGGAATTTTTGCTTAAAATCTTGACTGAAGATAAAATCTTAAATATAAAATTACTAGTGGCTAAGCCTCAAGCCTGTGTAGGACAGTTTGATTATCCTTCATTTATTGGTGAGCAGTTATTCAGTGAGGCTCTTAGAAATAGAAAGACACACAGAAATAGAAATTAACTTATTTCCCCAAGTCCTCCTGGAGGTCACTGAAAAAGGTGGTAATCCTGGATCTTGCTAGCAAGTTCTCTCCATACCCTCCAACTCGCATGATGTAGTAAAGGAGTTTGTAATTTTTTACATATAATGCAAATTGAGTACTGATACCAAGATACTCATGGTAAAAGGCACTTGCAGATTGATCCTTAGGAAAAATGATCAAATCTGGAAGGAAAAAAACTTTGCCAAGTTTTCCCCCTTTTCAGATCATCTCTGGAATGATGAGCTGAGGAAGATTATTTAAATGAATGCATATTTAAACATATATTTTGACTGTCAAATCTCC